TTAAAATAATTTCTAGCTCTGTCTCATATTCTTGTTAACTTGTTCGCATTTGAATTTTAAGGGAGCAAAATATTGACTATCTGCTAATATTAATGCGCCATTGGGTATATTAACTGGCAGTTGACTTCTGGCATCAAACTACCAACACCCTTCTGTATGTCTCTCCACCACTTCCACAGTACTCATCTTACCTTTTCTCTGCCTTTGTGTCTGTCTCTTGCATATACGAATCACTCTTCTGTTCCCCTTCTCCACTTTTTCGCACCTTGATGTTCCTCCCCACTGTGAAGCCCGAAGTCAACTAAAGGGCTAATGATAACTATCAAAACGCCTGCCATTTTATATAAATAAATTACTGCCTTCGATGAGTTAGATAATTCAAATGTCGGACCTCGAAAACTCTTGTAGGCAGTGACCTAGATACTCATGGAGGTGATGGATTTGAGATTGAGGAAGGGCTTTTGCTTTTTTTGAAGTGAAATGTTGCCCTTTTTGTCTAATGATTATAGTTTGCTGGTTTTCCCCACATCTCGAAAGTGTCTTTTTACTTCTCATGTGATACAATTTTACTCAATACAAGCTAGTATAAATTGAGCAGAACATTTTTTGTATGAATTATTTTTTAGTCGGCGGCGTCGCAGTTCATCTCGTTCCCGCAGTTCAAGATCTTCGAGGAAGGCTCTTGATAGAGACCGTCACTATCGTACAAGAAGACGTTCCTCCTCATCCTCTTCGTCTAAATCCTCCGCCCCGGAGAAATACAGTCATCGTCGACGTCGGAGGACGTCCACGTCATCAAGATCAGTATCTGCCAAGAATGAAAATAAGGCCAGATCACCGAGTGGTGGTGAGAGGTTAGTATTTTGAAATTTCTTTCCCATTATCTATTACCAGACTTGCGTCACAACTGCTTTTGATTATTCCTATCCAGCCCCCCCCCCTCCCATGCAAATTTTATAAGCTAAGCAAACTTTTGTTCAGGTGTCTATTCTGAACTCTTCTCTTTCTACGCAGCAGCGGGACATAATAGATCCGCTTTTGAAGGAGAAATAGAGGCTATTAGGATAGCACTATGCCAATTATGTTGCATGGATACGAAATTTACCAAAGCGATGATACTTTCGGACTCACAGTCAGCAATAGACTCTATTGGAAACAGAGAGACACCCAAAACAGCTGAGATAAAGGAATGTAGAAAACTCTATGAGCTGCTGAGAGAGAAAAACAAAACAGTGGTCCTACAATGGATTCCTGGTCACTGTGGCATTAAAGGCAATGAGATTGCTGACACACTTGCTAAGAAGGGGACAACGATTTTGCAATGCATGGACCGGCCGAT